TTTAGTGTAAATTAATGTAAAATTATAGAAAAAATATTCTAATTGGTATGTATGTTCTAATATCATAAATCTATAGAATAAAAATTGGATTTAAATATTAAAAAATATTTATTACTGTGTCACAAATGTGTCAATAAACAAGTTAAATTTTTACATGAATGATTACCTTCTATTAATAAATAAAATTTAGTGTACTATTATATGATATAAAAACATGGCAGAAAATGGATCAATCATAATACCAAATATAAAACAATTACATGAAAATGATCATACATCTACTATGAATATAGATTATTCTAGCATTAGAGGAAAGGTATCTTTTTTTGTATCTTATATATATTTTCAATAATTTTATGATAAATAATGAATTAATTTTAATAAATTACAGAATATTTTAGTTAGTCCATCAGAAGATCAATATGAATTATTACTTAAACGTTTAAAAGAAAGAATTCAAGATGGTGGTAGTGAAACAATTTTTGATATTGGTATTAGTGGAGGTATATAATCTTTTATCTTTATAATATTTATAAAAAATTTTTATATTAATTTTTATATTTTATTTTTATATTCATTTAATTTAGATAATAATTTTACATAATATTTATTATGTGTATATTTATTTTAAATGTACAATATATAAAAATATTCATAATCTATGTCAATTTAGATGGTTCTGAAGATGGTTTAAAAGAAGATGAATATGAAGCATCACTTGCAACTTTACAATCTCTTGCTGCAACATTAGAAGCAGATTGTGTACTTTTACGTCAGAGTAAAGTTGATCATGGTCTTATAGGACAATATTTAGTGCGAAGACGTTTAGATAGACAAGATTTCTTAGAAATAAGGTATTTGTTTTAAAAAGACAATATTAAAGTAAATAATGTTATATGTAATGTTATATATATATATATATATATATATATATATATATACATTAAAATAATGTTATTAGTGACTAATAATATTATTAGTGAATTTTAATTTAAAAGATTTAATTTATAGAGTGGCTGTTGTTGGTAATGTTGATGCTGGGAAATCAACACTTTTAGGTGTATTAACACATGGAGAACTTGATAATGGCCGAGGTTTAGCACGTCAAAAATTGTTCCGACATAAACATGAAGCTGAAACAGGACGTACTAGCTCAGTTGGAAATGATATTCTTGGATTTGATAGTGTTGGTATGGAAACAAGTTTAATAAGTTAAAAATAATTATATCATTATAGAGTTGTATCATTGTAGTATCATATATATGAACATATTTTAAATTTAGGTAATGTAGTAAATAAACCAGAACATGGATCTTTAGACTGGGTTAAAATATGTGAAAAATCTTCTAAAGTTATTACATTTATTGATTTAGCTGGTCATGAAAGATATTTGAAAACAACTGTTTTTGGAATGACAGGACATGCCCCTGATTTTGGTAAAATTATTTTCATTTAATTTAGATAATAATTTTACATAATATTTATTATGTGTATATTTATTTTAAATGTACAATTTTTTAAATATTTATTTAGGTATGTTAATGGTTGGAGCAAATGCTGGCATTGTTGGAATGACAAAAGAACATTTAGGTTTGGCTTTAGCTTTGTCAGTTCCAGTATTTGTTGTAGTTACAAAAATTGATATGTGTCCACCAAATATATTACAAGAAAATTTAAGATTATTAATAAGAATCTTAAAGTCCCCAGGTTGTAGAAAAGTACCTGTTACTGTAAAAACTCCTGATGATGTTGTCGTTAGTGCTACTAATTTTGTATCAGAACGGTTAGTTTTTATCTGTTTGTATGTAATATTATGTCATTTATAGAAATATTTTAATTATTGATATATTTATGTAGATTATGTCCTATTTTTCAAGTATCAAATGTTACGGGAGAAAACTTAAACCTTCTTAAAATGTTTTTAAATTTATTAACTGCAAGAATGATTAGTCATGAAGATGAACCAGCAGAATTTCAAATAGATGATACATATTCAGTACCAGTCAGTATTTAATTTTCACAAGTGAAAAATTGTTTTAATCTTCATTCTATATGTTTTTAGGGAGTAGGTACTGTTGTTTCTGGCACAACATTAAAAGGTGTCATAAAATTAAACGATATTCTATTATTAGGACCCGATCCTTTAGGTCGATTCATTCCAATTGCAATAAAAAGCATCCATAGAAAAAGAATGCCTGTTCGAGAAGTAAGAGGTGGTCAAACTGCTAGTTTTGCATTGAAAAAGATTAAAAGATCACAAATTAGAAAAGGTATGGTAATGGTTGCACAAGCATTAAATCCACAGGCTTGTTGGGAATTTGAAGGAGAAATTCTTGTATTACATCATCCTACAACAATAAGTTCTTGTTATCAAGCTATGGGTAATTTTATCTTTTAATTGAATTTTAATTTAGAATTCATTATGTTTTAATACTTAGAATTATTTGAATTTTTTAGTACATTGTGGAAGTATAAGACAAACAGCATCTATAATTTCTATGTCACAAGATTGTTTAAGAACAGGTGATAAAGCTTTAGTACGCTTTAGATTTATAAAACATCCTGAGTATATAAAACCAGGACAAAGAATGGTATTTAGAGAAGGACGTACTAAAGCAGTGGGCAATGTAATAAAATTAATTCCATATTCTAGTACTACAGTTATACAAACATGTAGAATTAGTAAACCAAATAAAATATCTCAAAATCGACAAAATTCTTCATCTGCAATACAAGTATGTATAAAAAAATATTTATTATTTTCATACAAAAATGAAAATTTTACAAATGATATATATAAATTTATTTATATTATATATAGTTATTAGATGCAATTGAAACAAATTCTTCATTTGAAGGACAAACATCAAAACAAGAAAATATACTTCAAAAATCTAATAAACATCAAAATAAAAAAGGTAGAGGACGAAAAGGAGGACGATCTCATAATACAATAAACAGTATTATTCAACCATTATCGGAACAAAATCCTCCTATGAAATTATGAATTGTTTTGTGTTTTAAACTTTTAAACATGTATATACATAGAAACTTATATAGAATACCAATATATTTATGAGGCATCTTTGAAGAATTGATTTTAGAAATTAAAACAAACGAAAAAATTCCTATACAAAAATCAATTGAAAGTTATTTTTTAAGTTATAAACAGTTACATTAAATAAAACAGAAAAGAAGAAATGACTTTCCAAAAGTGCCTCATGAATCTATATTCTATATTATTAGATTATTTTACAATTTTCGAAAATTAATATAAAATTATTTATTTTTAAACGATTCTAGTTTTCATTCTTAATAATAATTATAATTCTAAAAAATACATTATATAAATACAAATATATTTTTTAAAATATATAAATTTTCAAGAATTGTAAAATATACTGTTTATGTATACATATATCGTGCGCGCGCACGCGTGTGAGTATGCGTGTATTATATATAAATATATTTTTATTTTAGTAGTTATTTATATTAAAATATAAAATTATTTCATATAATAATGACAATTTTATCTAATTTGGGGTTATTTATATTCTTAAGAATTGTGATTTTTACTCTCAATAGAAAAAACCCCTGAATTATTAATCTAACATACATCGTGCTTTCAACCCTATTAGAGTACAAATTGTCTTTCATAGTTTTGAGTAAATTAATTAAAAAATTTAAAATGTCGTTTTTAAACATATGGAAAAATATATGTTGTTATTCTTGAAATGTTTTATTTTTATAAATACATAAATGTATTTCAAATAATATTTAGCAAATATAATCTATATATTCGAAATATTTGTTTTTTTTATTATTATAAACTGCCTATATTATAATTTTTAATTTTTTAAACAAATTTTAAATATATAACAAATTCATTATATTATATTAATATTTTTATTATACATAATTGTATTAATATTATAATCAACATTTTAAAAATAAAAACAAATTATTTATCAAATTAAATTTATAATAAAACTTCTATAAATTAAAAAATCTATTTTTATGTTGATGAATAAAATTTTTTATAGAAAGAAAATATAATTATATCTAAAGATATACTAGATATTTTATTTTTTATAAATAATCTTCTTTTTGAAAATTTTTATATTAATAATACTATAACATATCTGTAATAATAAATAACAATAAACAATAATATAAAATAATAAAAAAAGAAAGGATTTTTTATTATTAAAAGATATAAATAATGAATAAAAAAAATATTTGCAAATAAATATAATAAAAAAGATATTTAATGTATAATATATGTATAATATAATTTTTATAAATAATAAAAAAATTCTAATAATAAATTCTAATAAATTAAAATAATAAAAAAATGTTTATTAATTAATTAATAATAAAGAAAAAAGAGGGAAAAGAAAAAAAAATGTAAAATGATTAAATTAGTTTTTATTCATATAAAAATAATACTAAATATTAATAATAAATTATATTGTAGTAAAAAAAAAAATTTTTGTAAAATTTTATAAATATATAATAATTTTTATATTATGTATTTATATTATTGTATTTATTATAATATAAAAAATAGTAATTGTACATAAAAGTAAAATTTAAGTTTATTTATATGTTAGATAAAATAAATTTAAAAAATTATAAATTTTCATATTTTTTTATTATTACTTATTTATAAGACAATTATTACAAATATAATTTGTAATTAAATCAAGACTATAAATTATAGCTATAACATATTTTTAAAAAAATTACTTTGGTAAATTTTTCTTTATCTTATTTTTTACTTTATGTAAATTTTTTTTAAATGTATGAATGAAAAGTTTCTAATCATTTATCAAATTTAATTATAATAATATTTTTACAAACACTATTTTCGTGAATTTTTTTTTATTTCATTTTTTGCTTCTTGTAATTTTTCTTTAATATATTTTGTAATTTTTAATCGTTCAAAAAATTTCTCTTGATTAAAAGGTAAAGAAATACCATGTGTTCTACTTTGAAGTATTAAATATGCTATAAACTGTGCAGATCGTCTAATTGGTTTTGTATTTGCCAATTTATTAATTAATTGTTCATTATGTATCAAATATGTAAATAAGATACGCCAAAAACCCATGTTTGATTTGTCTTTTTTAAAAAACAAATAAAAATATTTATATTTTTGGAACTTCAAATGTACACATGTTACGATATTTTAATAAGAGCTCTCGCTTAAGTCTAAGTTGTTTACGTAAAGTTTCAAGTTTTTGTAATTGTTCTTCTTTACTATATTCTATTCCTGGTAATCTTCTAATCTATAAAATATAAAAACTATATTACATAGTTATACAATATAATATATATATATATATATATATANATTAAGAAATAAATATGTATAAAAAAAATATTTATTCATATTTCATAGCATTTCACCTGAGCTCTTGTAGAATCTAATTTTTTTTGAAGTTCTAAAATTTTATGACTTGTATCTTGTGATTCTTTAGCTTTTTGTGCAGTATCATGTGGATCTTTTTCAACACTAAAAGTAAAATACAAATAGAATAAAATTAATATATAATAAAATTCTTCAAAAAGATATTTATATTAAAAATTTCTATTTAAGATGTGATTATTTTAAATACTATATTATATTTTAAATATAAATATATATTATATAATATATAATAATATATATAAATTATATATATTTTATATAATTTATGCATATATATATATATAATTGCAACAATTATTGACATATTATCGAAATATATTTCAAATATAACCTAAGTATATAATTATAATTATAATTAAAAAAAAATATTTTATAAAGAAAAAATATTTTCTTAAATATAATGATTTTAAAGAAACAATTTATACAAAGAAAAATATCGAGTCAAAAAAATTAATATAAAAATATAAATAAAGATTAAATGAATTATATCTTTATTTTAAAATAACTCAAAATCATTAAACAACAACTATTTTAATTATTACATTATTAAAATGTACAAACCTCCGAATTATTTCATATATAATTGGTAATATTTCAATATCCAAATCATCCACTGTAAATTGTGGACGTAAAGTACTTTCCTCCGATAATTCTGATTCCATTATAACATTTTGATGAAATATAAATAATGTAATGTAAGTTATAATATTTTCTGTGTTTCTATGAATTTTCATATGTTAGAATACTATCGTTGATTAAAAATCATCCTTAAATAGTGATTTTTTAGTAACTAGATTCTTGTAACTAAATTCACGATCTTCACTTGTAATCTATTTCAGCTTGGTTGATTTCTTCGTCATTTTACATCGATAAGAAACACAAGGTATCGTTCATGATAATTCATTTTAATCTTAAAATATCCAAATATATATTAATCATCCTTATGTTTTGTATTATTTTAAATTATTAAAAAAGCTTATACAATTATTATTTTTTTATTTACATGATTTTTGTTTATTGTTAATAGTCAATATGGGGCGTCGACCAGCTAGATGGTATGTAGTATATATATTTATATTTATTTAATTTTACTAATAAATTTTATATTTTATAAAATTTTACATAATTATAATTAATTATATTGATAATAATTTTTTCTAGTTTATTGTAAAAAATTTTTATATTTCTATTAATTTTCAATTTTTTGTTTTTAATTATACATATATTTTTAATACGAATCTTTTTTTTCCTTATAGCTATCGATATTGTAAGAATAAACCTTATCCTAAATCAAGATTTTGTAGAGGTGTGCCTGATCCAAAGATACGTATTTTTGATCTTGGAAAAAAGAAAGCTTCTGTAGAAGATTTTCCATTATGTGTACACTTGGTATCAGATGAATATGAACAACTTAGTTCTGAAGCTCTTGAAGCTGGACGTATTTGTGCAAATAAATATATGGTGAAAAATGCTGGAAAAGATCAGTTTCATATTCGCATGAGATTGCACCCATTTCATGTTATTCGTATCAATAAAATGTTATCATGTGCTGGAGCTGATAGGTATATAAATAATTTAATAATTAAACATTTAATAATAATGAAATTTTTTAAAATAATATTGAATATTAGTAATTAAGATATGCATATCAGAGCATGTCCCATCATATATAAAAAAAAAACAAGCACATATATATCTTCTTCATTATCTAATAATATAGAATTATATTTAATAATTTTAATTAATTTCATTAAATATTGTTTTTTTATATTTTTTAAGACTTCAAACAGGAATGAGAGGTGCTTTTGGTAAACCTCAAGGTACTGTAGCCAGGGTTCATATTGGACAACCCATTATGAGTGTACGCTCATCTGATCGTCATAAGGCTGCTGTAGTTGAAGCATTACGACGTGCAAAATTCAAATTCCCTGGTCGTCAAAAGATATATGTTTCAAAGAAATGGGGTTTTACCAAATATGATCGTGCTGAATATGAAGAATTGAAAGCAGCAGGTCGATTAGCTCCAGATGGTTGTAATGTCAAATACTTACCAGAACATGGACCACTTGATGAATGGAAAAAATTCAGAAAAGTTCTTGCTGCTGCTTAAATAAAATATGATTTTTTGAATTTGAATTTTATTAAATAATTAAAAATAAGCACATGTTTTTAATTTTTCCATATTTATTATACTTTGTTATACTTTATTCTGTAATTGTTATATTTTTATATTATTATATTATTAGTTTATTTATTATTATCTCTTGATTTAAATATTTTATTTAATTTGATATAAATCAAAAATTAAAATATTTAAACTATTTGATATATTATTTAAGGAGAATTTATATATATATTTATATGTATAATTGTATTTTTTGTTATTTAATAATTTTATTTCTCTAAAAAGTAATTTATAAAGTCTAGCAAAGTAAATATGAGTAACTGTATATATAATTTTTATTGTTTACTAAATGATTTTCTTAATTTGAAACATCCTTTTTGAAGTTTTAGATTATTACTAATTATTTTCATTATATTTATTATTTTATTTAAGGATAACATGGAGATCCCCTTAATTTTATTATTTTATTTTCAATATTTAAAATATCTAAATGAAACAAAAAAAAAGAAAAAATACAAAACAACCATATTTATATATATTCATTTTTTTTTTTTCAAATAAATTAATTATTAAGAAAAAAAATTATTTTGGGGGATGATTTTTACAATTAATTCTTCGAGTAACATCTATCAAAAAAATAAAAAATAATGTTTCATTGTCTAATTATTATATATACAAATTTTAAGATGATTGCGTTGATGAAATATAATTAATAAAATTTTTAATGTACATATATATTAAAAATAATACATAATATCTTTCGATAGTTTTGTCAGTAAATGAATTTTATTTCTCAAATTTTTAATTAGATTTTTTAATTTCTTAAACTTCATTTTTTTCTTTTTATAGAAAGAATATATTTATAAATAGAAATGTAAAGCACATAAATGTATTACAAATGTTAAGATATCGGAAAATATCAGAATATTTTTAATTTTTTTTTATGAATATCATTTATAACAATGTTATTTATCCAAAAATAAATTATTTTTAGCTTTAATAACTTACTTATAATTTAAAAAAAAATGAATATGCCCATTTTTATATATTTTATATATATATTATCTCATTTAAATATTTTAATATTTTAAATAATAATCGAGAAAAAAACTAATATAAAATATATATCCCTATATTATTCTTAAACAAAGCAATTTGAAACTTTAAGAATGATATTTCAAATAGAAGCAGCAAACAATAATAATAATAATAGAAGTTGTTCATATTTTGCTTTTTAACCAAGAAATGATACATATATATTACAATTTTACAAGTAATTATATTTCTATATTATTATATTACCAATATAATAGTAAACATAAACCAATATAATAGTAATATTTTTAAGAATTATCGTATTATTCAAAAATAAAAAACAATAAGAATTATTCAAAAAAATAATAATAATTATTATAAGAAATCAGTAAATTAAATTAGTAATTGATTATTTTATTTAGATAATTATAAAACTATTTTTATTAGAAGTTAGTATATATATATTTATATATATGAAATTTATTTATGTATTTTATGTATATTATATTTATGTATTATTTAAAAAAAATATTGAATTTATTAAAGCAAGATCGTATTACAAAAACATGATTTATTAACATATCTTTATAAATATTAAAATTTTTTGTCTCTAAATATGAAATCTGTTAATTAGAGATTCCTGAGATAATTTCAACCAACATTTTCCTTTGCAAAAATTTATTATTATGGCTTTGTTAACAAATTATCAACAAAAAAACACTTGGTCAATCAAGAAGCATATTATTTAAATTTTTTTTCGAGTTGCAATGATAATGTTGGTTAATCGAGTATGAAGAAGTTCAAATAATATATATATCGAAGAAAATGTATTGTATAACAAATATTTTTTTAACAATAAAAATTTATATCTAATTATATCACAAATAATGAATAAATTATAATTAATATTCAACACACTTTCTTTGATATATTGCTTTTTTTGCTTGGATTTGTTTGGTATATTGAAGGGAATAAAAACATAGAAAACACATTTAATATATAGCTATTTTTCTTTTTTTGTTTCATTTAAATATTTTAATAAAAATAATAAAATAAATATAAATTAAAAAATATTAATACAAATGGATATATTTTTAATATTTTTTGCTCAATATTTAAATATACTTAAATATTTATAATTTTATAATTACTTATATCTTTTTGTATAAAAGATTTATAGAAATATTTTGTATCAAGAGCAAGTATGAAAATCAATCAATTAAATTTGTGAACAGCAGATTTTATCAAAATTTTATTATTAAAGTTTTTTTGTCACAAAAATAATAAAATTAATATTGGATTTAAATCTATTAACTTAAATAACAGAAATATAATAAAATTAAAGCAGATTCTACTGTCAAATTGAAAGCAAAATTAAAATGTGTACTAAATCAATGTAAAGAAACAAAAATCAAACAAAGTCTTGTAACTTCAGTCATTTAAATTTTAAATAAAGTAATATAAGTAATTTTTTTTATTTTATTTGTGACATAGAATTTATTTTATTTAAAAAAAAAGCATTTATTAAATTCATGATTTTCATAAATGCTTGTTCTAAACTATCATAAACAGTTTAGTTATACCTTTTGAATTCTGGAAAAAATTTAGAGGTTTATATTTATTAAATATTAAAATCCATGAAAATCTATTATAATATCTATTATAATATCTATTATAATATCTATATAAGGTTATAAAATTATATTGCACATATATAATTGCAATAAATAAATTAATCTATAATGCTATAATTTTTGGTTAATAAATTGGTTAATAATTTTAATCGTAAATAATTTAAAAAAAATTTTTATAATTTACAGTTTACATATAATATCTTATTTACAATTTATATTCAGAATTTTAAAAAAGAATACTAAATATTTTATATTATAAAATATATTAAAAAATAATTAAATATATTATATTAAATATATATTAAATATTTTAATGAATATTTAATGTGAATGACATGTAATATCAACATCATTTTCATTTTCTGTATTTTGCATTTCATCATCAATATCTATATCACATATTCCGTGACTGTTATTATCAAGTGCTTCTGTACTAGTTGCTGCATCTAATAATGGAGACAATTTTTCTGCTTCACTATCTTCATCTTGTCCTTGTCCCTATAAATATGATTTATATAAGCAACAAAGTAAAAATTTATATGTTTGATATTTTATTAACTATAACTATAACTATAACTTAAGAAAATTGTAGCACAAGTATTAATAGAGAGAAAGGAAAATCTCTTTACCTCATAAAGAGATACTGGTTGTTTTTCATTAACAAGTCTAAGAGTGTCTCGTGATCGTAGTACTACTTTTTCCCGTAAGTGACCAGAAGGTTTTATTCTCATTGCTGGAGATCGACTGTGTACATCTTTTTGTGATCCTGAATGTTCATCTCTAGCTAATAAAACAGACATTCGAAATTCTGGAGTAGGACATGCAGTACCACTAGTTCTTGCAGATATATCTGCTTCTTTTGAAGATACATGTTTTGATATGACAGGTGTACGTTCTACTGACCTTTTAAATAACATGTATATTACAATTATATTAGAATTTAAATGAATTATATTAACATAACATAAACATAACATGTACATATATAAAAAAATTAAATTAAATTAAAATATTATTTTACCTATTTAATGTTTCAGCTGCTTGAATTGCACTAGCTGTATCTGTATCAGGAGTATCTGGAGTTTCTGGAGCAAGAACAGTAGTTCTTGGAATATATGGACCATTTAAAGCTTCTATCAATGATACAGCTTCATATCCAGCTGGTATATTTTCACAACTTCCCTAAAAAAAGGATTTAACATTTCGTTCATAAAATTAGTCTAATATTTTATTATTATTAATTTTATATTTATTTTAAATAGAAATAAAATTACTAATGTTCCATCAAATATTAATTCAAGCAATGTTTTTCAACCAATATATTATAACATATTAATTGTATTGTGAATATACATTGCAAAAATTTTATTAAAATTTTACTAAAAATATTTAATATTTATAAATAATATTGAAAATACGATCAATGTGATGATCATATCAAAAATTTTATATTATTCTTCAATTAAACTTAGATTATCTTATTTCCAGATTATTTAATTTCTTGATATTAAAATTTACATTTTTTCTATAAATTCAATTCAATAAATATTCATAATAATTACGATTATTTTTCAAATTTATATGAATAATATCTAAGTCTAGTTTATTTATCTGTATTGATTTAAAAAATAAAATCTTTTTAGATTTTATCTTTTGATAAATAATCTTTTTAATTTATTTTAATTCAACAAATTTCTTACTGCTATTAAATTGGATACTTAAGATATTAAATTATTATATTATAATGGTATTTTTTAAAATATTTTTTCCTTTTTAAATAAATTATATAATAATTAATCAAAACTTGTTCAAAAATCATTTCAAATAATTAAAATAATTTCATTTTACCAATTATATATTGTAAAATTTAAAATGTTTCATTAGCCAAAGAAGATTGATAAATATTTATGATGTAATATAATAAATAATATAATGAATATAATGAAAAATAAGTATATATATATATATATATATATACATTAATATAAAATTATTTAAATAAATATTTACCTCTGGTAATGGTGGATTTGATATAATAGCTCCAGTTGCTTTTTGAAGAGCTTTAATTTGAAGAAGAGCTCTGAAAGGAGCTCGACATATTGGACAATTATTTGCTTGATATCGAAGAGAATCTGCGCAACTATTACATAGACATAAATGTCTACATGGTAATATTAAAGTATCTCGTACATCACACATACAAATAACACATTCTGATCCATTATCATCTGTATCTTCATCACTTCCTTGTTGCTAAAAAATAAATTATTGTGAAGGAAATCTAAAATAAAAAATTTTGATATATATTAATATATGCCATTATTATTTATTTTATACCTTTGCATTTTCAGCATTTTTATTTTCAATTCCATATATTTCTTGAAGCAAGTAACAAAGACCATCAACATAAAGTTTTTGTTTAAGAGCTTTTAATACATATGTTCCATCTGAATGTTTTTCAACAACTGCAATAGTTGTGTGAGATTGTTTTGGTTCATCTGAACCTTCTTCTGCTATACAATGAATTGCTACTGGTATTATCTATAAATAATTATAGCAATTAATAAGAAATAATTTAAAAATTCTATTATGTATTAAAAATATACATATATATATTTTAAACATACTTCCCTGTCAGTATTGTATAACAAATCTTCTTTGTTATATATTGTTGGATCAAACATATGTGATGTTTGAGAAAATAATTGATTGGCACCTTTCTTATAATAATATGTTTCAGAATTCATAGAGGGATCCCTTGGTATATATCTATAAATATATATTAAATTTTTAATTATATATAATATTTGGTGTGTGTGTGTGTGCGCGCGCGCGCGCGTGCGTGTGTGTATAATATATTCTAAATTTTTGTAGTGCATATATTACATACGTAACTCCTTTTGTTGTGATTTCTTCAGTGCAAAAATAATATATTGTAATTGCACATCTTACATCGCAATCAAATGTAAATTCAATATTATAACGATTTGATTTCTTATCTATATCTCCATCTCCATAATGTTTTACATTGTGGCATTGAGGAGTAGAAGTTTGATCGACATTGCGAATTAATCTTAATGATTCCCTTCTTATATTTACTAAGCTTTTTAATGTTTTAGTAGGATCATTGGCTTGTGGTGGAGGATATGGAAACTAAAATAAATAAAAATATTTTAAATCTATATATATATTTATATAATATTATAATATATTTCTTACAGGTGTTGGACGACTTCCTAAGAAATTCAAATCAGCATTTTCTCCAAAGAGATATGCTTCTGGTTGAGGTGTATCAAATCGTTCACCACCCATTATGAAATGACTACCAAAATAACTTCCTAATAAATAAAATTTATAAATTAATATATAAAATATTCAAGAACTTTTTTAATATATATTTAATAATTTATTATATTTTATATGTACTTTAATATATAGTTTTTAATTATTGAAATAAGAATTAGAAATTTAATTTCTATATTTTATAATAATGTTTTTTTTTAAAAATTATTTAATTATTTTTAAAATAATATAAACAAACCTGAACGAGGAGGATATTTATATGCATGATTTGAAACAATATCAACTTCTTCTACACCAGCATTTTGTCGACTTGTTAACGAACCCATTGCTTAATTATGCAAAAATTATAAATTATTGTTATGTAAATTTTATTGTGTTATGTGAAATTAATCATATAAATTTTTCTGTAATAAATACGAATTATAGATTGAAGTAAAAGTCAAAATTTATTATTAAAAAATGCTTAATAATTTAAAATATTATTAATAAAGATAAAATTTGAATAAGAATAAAATAATAATAAGAATAAAATTTGATAAACAATTTGCATTTAATATACTTTTTTATATGCAAAATGTATGAAATGCATTATATACATATCTTTCAGGTTAGCCAATTTTATTAAAATTTATTTATCTAAATCTTTTAAATTTTATTTATTTTATTAAATACATTAGAAACATTGAAATATATAAAATTAACAAAATTATTTTTTGTTTCTAAATTAAAAACAAATTAAAATAATTTTTTAAAAAACACAACATTTATATGTTTCTTAGACTGTTAGATCAAACGCGCTATTTCAAATTTTTGATACTATACTTAACAACTTTATAATTGATGATTAAATAATTAGTATTTACAATATGTCAATACGCAATAAAGATTATAATATTTTTTTAATGATTTATAAGTGTTTGATAAAATTTTTAATTAAAATCAATAAAAAATAATAAATGAATAATGACACATAATATAATACTACTAATTTGACATTAACAAGTTTCCGACAATATAACCAAATTTTTTAATATGATTTTATGTAATAAATAACAACAAAGTAATATGAATTATATATATATATATTATATGATATAAATTTATGTAATGTATAAAATGTAAATAATTTTTTATAATCATGAAATTTAATGAAAAAGAACTTGCAGAAGCAAGTAATGGTCCCGCTGATATTGAAGGTCGTTTAAATCATAAACGAGCACACAAATCAGGTTAGTTTTATTAAAAATTATTTTTTTTAAAAGAATATTATATATAAAAATTAAAAAAAATTATAAAAATATTTAATATTATATATAAAAACTTATTATTATAAATTCTAATGTTACATATATTTTTGTATATATATTTTTTGTGTTGAGTAATTTATTAAATTTTAATGTTATTGTTTAATTAAAAGAATAATGATTAATCTGTTATATTATTATTTAATTTATTTATATTTACATAATTATACTTTAGGATTCAAGGAAAAATGGTTCAAATTGAGATGTAACTTATTGTTCTATTTCAATATTAATGAATTAGGACAAATTGATACTAAGCAACCAGCAGGTGTAATTATTTTAGAAAATTATAATATTAATCTTGATGCTGCTTCTGAAGGTGTTTTTGCATTTAGTATAGCATTTCGAGATGAATATGAAAAAAGACATATTTTAAGTGGCCGTTCAGAATCTCAAGTTGAACAATGGGTCAATGCCCTTAAACAAGCAAGTTATGAATATTGGAGATTTCGTTTAATAGTACTTCAAGAAAAATTATGCAAGAAAACAGGAATAGATCCTTTGCTTATGTATCCTCGAAATCAAGGAATTATTAGAGATGAAGCATGGGAAGCTGCATCAACTTTTCGATCTCATGTACGCTCTTTTACTACATCAGTTGTAACATCAACAGCATTAAATACAGTAACAAAAGAAATGAACTTAATTGAATTTTAAGTCAAATAATCTAATTATTTTTTATATATTTATTAAATTCATTTAATCACATTTACATATTAAAATTATGTAAGATATAGAACATTTGAAAACATAAATTTATATGATAATAAAATAACAAGCTTTAAAATATTCATTGCAGCTATAAATTATATAATTTATTTCATTATTATAAACAAACAATAATTCTATGCTTTTAAACAAATAACAATTTATTTTCATTAAAATTGAATAAAATATAATTTTCATTATTTATATATATATATATAATTTTATATATATTTTTATTATATTTAATATATATTATATATGTATATAAAATATATTTTTTATAATATTTTAATAATACAAAATAATTTTAATATAATTTTTAAAAAATCATATATAATGTAATATACATATATAATATTATAATAATGTAATATACATGTATAATATTATAATATTATATTATAATATATAATATGTATAATGTAATATATAAATATTGTACATAATTATACTATATAATAGTTAAAAATGTATTGATTGATTGATTTGACGAGTGATTTTTAAGAAATTTATATTATAAGTGATTATTCTAGCATTTTTACTTCATTTATAGATTTTTTTAAATATTTATAAGTTAAATACTTTTTATATATAGTACTTCGTATATATATATTTTATGGTATATATTTTATATAAATTTTTAGTAATTATTAATTAGTAATATATATTTTTATGATATTGAAATAAAAAAAAATTTTCTCAATATTTTATCATTTTCTCAATATATTTTATTAATATTTAAAATAATTTAAAAAAATTTTTCAATTTTATTATATATTATATATTTTATTATATATAATATATTTTATAATATATTTTATTATATATTATATAATATTATATATTATATATATTTATAAAATATATATTATACAAAGATAGAAAGATAATATATTATTCAAAATAGATATGAAAAAGAATATATATATATTTAATTGATACATGTGTTTATTTTTTTTTATTCATCATAAATCAAACTCGCAAATTAATTCAATTTTAATTTGAATAAAAATAATATTTGATATGATATAAAATAATGATATTTATCATAAATTAAAGTCACAAATCAACAATTTAATTTAAATTTAAATAAAAAAATATATTAATCATTGATAAAAATTATAATAAAATTATATAAAATTGATTGTTTATACCATATATATATTTTTATATATTTATGTATAAAATATAATAATATAATTTATATAAATATATATATATTTATTGTATATATATATAATTTATATAAATATATATATATTATATATATATTATATATATATAATAATATTATATATTTATGCTATAAACTTTTTTATTTCAATGATTTAAATCGCACTTAATAATTTTTTTTTTTTCTTAATATTTTAAAAATAAGTTGGTATTACTGTTTCTACACTTTTCACAACGTGTCACTTTTATATCCACGCATCAACATTAGTGTACTAAATATTAAACATTAAAAATATTAAATATTAAACGTACTATAGTTATGATTACTGTTTAATCTAATATGATTTAAATTCTGATAACTGAATTGTGAATTTTTTAATTGTGTAATTTATTATATAATATTTAATTATATAAAATTTGAAATAAATTAAAATAAACGTAAAACAGCATGATGAAACAATTCATAGCTTTATTTACTCTAATAATTTGTGGATTTCCTGAAATTTTTTGTGAAACTTGTCAAAAACCTGAAATTATTGCATCTGCATATATCACAGAAGATGCAACAATCTTAACAAATGTAGCATTTACAACACAATTTGTACTTAAATGTAGTAATGGTATAAAAGGTATTACATTATATGCAGAAGTTGATGGAAAATCATTACCAGCTGCTAAATTAAGTTCAGATAACAAATATCAGGTATATTTCTATATTATTTAAATTTATGATTCATTTATATGCTTCATTTATTTAAAATAAATTAAAATAGTAATAAAATTAAAATTAAAATAGTAATAAAAATTATAAATAAAAATTTAATTGTTATTATAATAAATTTAACTTTTATAGGTGTCTTGGACAGAAGATATAAAAAAAGTACATTCTGGAGATTACAATATAAAATTATATGATGAAGAAAGATATGCAGCTATACGTAAAGCATTAAGAAATGGAGAAGATTCAAATAATGTGAAACCTTTAGTTGTTGTAGTACTTAATAACCCAGGCATATATCGTGGACCTTGGGTTAACTCTGAACTTCTTGCTGTTCTTTTAGCTGCTTTAGTATCATATTCTGCCTTTTCTTCGAAGTTTAAGCTTCTTGCTTAAGCTTTTTTTTATAAACAATAATAAATTTATTACATAGAATTTTATATAGATTATTATTAATATTACTTAATAAATAAATAAATTTTGTTTTTATTATAATTTCTAAATTTATAATATTAATTTAATCATTATATATTAACATATCATATATATAGTTCTAAATGAATGAATGTTTTATATATAAAATAATATTAATTTTCTATAATAATATTTAATAATTCTTTTTTATACACAGTAATTATATTAATCTTTGTCTAATTTATTTTTAAAATACATCGAAACTGTTTATGAAATATAATTAGATATAAAAGTTAATACATATTAGAAGAAGGTGGATTGCCGAAAAAATATTCCCAAGAAGGTGGATATTTAATAATGTTATTATCAATATCATTTATTAAATTCAACCATTCATTCAATCCATTGAAAAGTATCAATGCATCAGAAACATTATCTCCTTCTGAACAATAACAAAAAAGTATTGTACAAGGAATTTCCATTGATTTGAGATGCTCGTAGAAACCATTTGCAAATCCACCACCAGAAATGTAACATTCTTCTTTAGGATCCTTTGTTATATTTTTTATGTGTCTTTTCCAAGAAAGAATTTTAAGAAGTTTCTCATTATTTAATAAAAAATTATCTGAAGAAAGATATCTTAAAGTAGTTTCTGATCTATTTATACACTCATAATCATAACTGCTGGTTAAAATTATTATCTATAAAAATAGATTTTACATTAATAATCAAATTAATATTAAATTATACGATTAATATCTATAATATTATAGTATTATATTATACTGTACCTTGCAAATTTTTTTATGTTGAATAAATTGTGTTAATTCATCAAAGAAATTATTTAAATTACCAACATAAGGTGAACGTAATTGTAAAAGAATTATGTTATATGTTCCAATGTAAAAGTCACCAGTAGTACAAAGAGAATTAGAATTTTTATCATAAGGATTAAGTCCACAGATTGGGAGGAACATAGGATTCCATAAACTTCCAATTTTGTACAAATTTAAATTAGATATCAACAAATCAATGCATAATTGTCCAATATTTCCAACAGCCACTGAGGGAAGTATTAGAGTATAGTTTTCAAGGTTAATTTCTTCCAGTATTTTTATCATTTTTTAATAAGTAATCACCTATTTTATTAAAAAAATTATTATTATTTAATTATTATTTAACAAAATTCATTAAATAAAAATCCTTATGACTTATAAAAATACAAATATGATATTTAAATTCTATTTAAATGAACATATTAAAAATTTTATCATTTTAATTTTTATTTTTATAAATTTAAAATTTACAAATCATCACAATAAAGTAACTATTAAATATTTTCTTTATAATTATTTACTTATATACTTATATATTTTTATATATCAAGTAAAAATTTTATATATAATTACATACAATTATGTACAATTCAATTTAATTTTAAATAATAATATATTTTTTATAACATACTTTTTTCATAAAACTAATAGAAGTATATAAATATGTAAGAAATATATATACAATGCTTCAAACTTATTAAATAATTATTTGAAACTTCTGAAGTACATAATCATAGTATATGTATTTATGTAAATTTAAGAATAAAGTTGGTACTTCTGTTTCTGCAACTTTCAACTATTACATCTATATATCACATCTTATATCTAATAGATGTAAAATGAATAATATTTAATAACATATACATATATATACTAAATAATATATTGTGTAATAATTCATATAAACTTATTTTAAAAATTGCAATAAAATTTATTAAAACATATTTTTTCTTTTAAATCTTATTTATAAAAATATTTATAAAATACAATATTAAAATTATTAAATAAAATATTAAAGTTGTAAACACTGATTAATTATTATAATGTAGACATAAAATTAAAATATAATTATAAAATATAATTCTTGTCAACCAAATCTGTTTTTATCAAATTTTTACATGTCTTGTTAGCATAATATTACCAAATTTGATATAAATTTTTTTGATAGTTTATATATATATATATATATATATATATATTTATATATATATATATATTATAGTTTGTATATTATAATAACATATATATAACATATATAACATATATATTGTTTGTATATAACATATATATATTACTAATAATATTACTATTAAATATTAAATTATGTTAACAAATTGACATCAAAAGTATACAAAATCTTGATGATAAAAATATATCAAATTTAGCTATATATTCTTTTATAATTTAAATATTATAAATATTTATTATAAATATATTATATATATTTTTATAATTTTAAAAATTAAGTAAATAATAGAAATACTGTTTTCTTAAGAAAACGTTTCAAAAAACAGTGATGATTATAGAACAACTAAAATGTACCTAAATAAATATATATTGCAGTTGTTATTATACACAGAAAAAAACGTAAGATGTTATTAAAATTTATCTATATATGTTATTAAAATTTGTCTACATTTATCTTTTATTTTTAAACAACTATATTGGAATAGCTATATTATTACTACTTTTTAAATAGGTGTATTTTTTCATATTTCAAAATATTATATTTTTATTAATTTCAATATTTATATATAAATATATATATATTCTATTACAGATAAATATAGAGATCACAAATATTTAAATCAATAGAACTAAAATATAAATATTATATTATGAATATATATACAATATATTAATAATTTAATTATATAATGCTTTTTATTTGCAAAATAAATTTGTCATTGAGTATATTTCTAAATATAAATCGGATTTAATATAATGATTATTTTCATTTATGATAAAAATTTATCATATTTATAATATGCAAAAATTATTTTTTTTAAAATTAATATTATTATTATTATATATCTTAATAATATTAATATTTATTATATATCTCAATAATATTAATAAATTTTGTCTAATTTTCTTTTTTATGTTTGATTTATTGGTTCATAATAAAGGAAAGGATATGAAATAAAAGACAATTTCTTTTGAATAATTATTAAAAAAAAAAAAAAATTAAAAAAAGAAACAACAATATACAGTTAAAAATTAGGATAAAATTGCTATTTGCAATTAAATTAAAAGTTATAATCTAAATTTAATTGTTATATATATATTTATTTTTGTAGAAAAAATAATTATAAATAATATTTTATATATTTTATTTATTTTTAAAAATATTTTTGAATTAAATTATTTAAAAAGCTGATTTATGACATTATTGGCTTTAAAATATATTTAGCGCTAATTTTACATCCATTTATAACTACAAAATTTGTTTTGTATTTAATAAGAAACAAAGAAAGGTTATGTATCAAAATTTGATCTATTTTTGATGCAAATTTAGTGTCAAAATTTAGTACAAGGCTTGACATTAAAATTGATATATAATAATGACATATGAATGGATAAGATTTTGTACTCAAATTTTATAGAGATTTGATATCAATTTGGTGCTACTTTATAATCAAATTGTTTGCTATGTATATTATATAATATTCTTCTTCTATATTATTAATTATTTTTATATCTTGAATATTGAATATCTTGAATATTATTTATTATATATTATATTTTGTTAAAATTTAATTAATTATTGAATAAGTGAATTATGAAGAAACAAAAATTTAAGTTGATTTTATTTACAATCAAATTTGATTGGTGAACAATAATCGGTATTAAAGTGAAACTTGTTACCGACTGTGCATAGCGGCATGTGACGTCATGCATCACCGCCCCGCGATGTCTTTCGGGAAATAGCGCCGCCATCTTGAGTAGCATGGCCCAGCTAGACAGTGCGCCCTGAGTTGAGACATGCGATTTATCGCAAAAACATTGAACGTCCCAAGAATCACGGTTTTCTGTGAAACGTAGCAAATATTCGGTGCTTTGCACCTTCATCAGAATGGAAGCGGTTAAGGCATTTAATGCAGAGGTAAGTTAACTTATCCTTGATTCTTTTTCTAGCCCGCCGACTCTCCCTCTTTTTTTCTCATTTCTCTTTCCTTTTTCTTTTTCTTTTTTACTTTTCGAAGTTGAAAACAATACAATTTTAAAGTAAAAGTTTAAAAAAAATATTTTTTTTTATCTCTTTACTGTTTGTTATATGAAAATTCGAATGATTTTAATCTTCAAAGAATGCTTTGATTTCTTAATGTATAAGAAAGAGGGAGAGACCATCTCTGTATGTAAGAAAGAAGGATAGAACTAAAGAGAGTCTTTATTTGTGATTTAAAATATAATTTATAACACATAATGTTATTATTAAAATTTTTGTAATTTCTATAATGTATTATAATTTCTATAATACATAATTATTATATATGTATTTTAATTGAATTGTATATAATTGTGTTTAATTCATATTATAAAATTAATATTACAAAAGCAAAAAGAAGAAAAAGAAATAAAAGAGATTTTAAATTTTAAATATAATTATAATAATTTTAATATAAATTTATTTAATTTTTGTATTTAATTAATTAGATTTTATATAGATATATTATTGAGTTTAGATCAATTAAATGTAAAAATTAAAATTATATGTATACAATATTTATGTGGAAAATAAATTTTAATAATATTAATTCTATATTTTTTTTATATTTAAAAATTTAATTAATTATTATTCTTCAAAATTTAAATATAATTTTTGATCAATGAATTAAATATAATGTTAATTCTTTTTATTTATTCATTATTATAGATATGATAAGAAAGAAATTTAAAAGTAATTAATTTTTATTAATGAATTGAAATATTTAATTCAAGAAAGAATTATAATTATTTAATTTAATTATTTTTTTTCAGCTTTCAGCTTTGTATGATGTCAAACCACCAATTTCAAAAGCTAAAATGAATTCTTTAACTAGGGGTGCAATTAAAGCAATTAAATTTTATAAACATGTTGTGCAAAGTGTTGAAAAATTCATTCAAAAAGTAAGTCATATAAAATTATTCTTATAATTTTGTATATATTAATATAATATAATTATAGTTTCATAAGTTATAGTTTTATAAGATATTATTTTATATCGTAAAAAATAAGAAATTTTTTAACATTAAATTATAAAA